TCTCCTGCCTCAGCCTCCTGAGTAGCTGGGATTACAGGCACGTGCCACTATGCTCCGCCAATTTAAAAAATATTTTTAGTAGAGACAGGGTTTCATCATATTGGTCAGGCTGGTCTCAAACTCATGACCTTGTGATCCACCTGCCTTGGCCTCCCAAAGTGCTGGGATTACAGGTGTGAGCCACCACCCCCAGCCTCTTCTTTCCTTTTTTTCTCTCTCCCAGTTGAAACATGGAAGATAAAAGGCAGGAAGAAAAACAGTGGGTATTTTAACATTCCATTTTAAAACTGTTGAAGTAATAAGAGGTAATTTTCGGTAGACTTACCCTATCCAAGTCAAGGTTTGAGAAGCCTGTGATCCCTCAATCCCTGGGAAGGCTATTCCCTATTTCACAGGCGAAGAAACTGCAGCAGAGAGAGGCCGAGGTCAGACAGGTCAGAGGATAGAGTGTGACTCAGGGTTTGCACTTCCCTTCCAGGCAAGGGGACTCCAAGAACAACATACGTGGTCTCTAGCCCCGTCTTCAGAGGGCCGCCTTCTGTCTTCAGGCTGCCTTCTTTCTCTTCTGCGGTTCTGAGGCCTTTGTTTCCTTCCTGCTCTGCTGACTGAGGACCCCAGGAAGCCTGGCTTCCTGTCATGGACTGTTCGAGGAAGGCGTGCAGGGCTGCAGAGTCAGCAGACGGTGCACCATGGGAGAGCATGCAGCGGCCAGAGGGCCAGGGCAGAGGCTGAGCCACGCAGGCGCCTGTGCACACAAACACACACACGCACATTCACACACACAAACACACAGACCTAAACACTCACACACCTTCGCACACTCACATTCACATACACACTCATTCCCAAACGCCTCACACACATACACATGCACATTCACACACAAACATGCATGTTCACATACACTCACACACTCACATTCACATACTCATTCCCCACACGTCACACACATACACATGCACGTTCACGCACACACACACATACACGTTCACATACACACACACAGATGTAAACATGCACACACAAACATTCACATACTCATTCCCCACACACGTCACACACATACACATGCACGTTCACACACACACACGTTCACATACACACACACAGATGTAAACATGCACACACACTCATCACACATTTACATACACTCACACTCTCACATTCACTCTCATTCACACCTACGTTCACACACAACACATACACATTCACACACACACTGCACACTCAAAACACACACTCATCCACACACACACATTCACATACATTCACTCACACACTCACGTTCACACTCCCATTCATACCTACGTTCACACATAATACATACACGTATACAAACAGACGTAAACACACTCCACACACTCAAACACACTCATACACACTCTTCACATTCATATACCCATTCCCACACACGTCACACACATACACATGCACATTCACGTACACTCACACACAGACGTAAACATGCACACACACTCATCCACACACAGTCACTCACACACATACTCTCACATTCACATTTGCATTCACACCTACATTCACACACACACATGCACATTCACACACAATACATATATGTTAACACACACAGACGTAAACACACTTATCCACACTCATTCACACGTTCACACACATATGCATGTTTGCACACACTCATACACGTTCACAAACACAAACACAGATGTAAACATTTACACACACTCATCCACAAACACACGTTCACACAAATACATGCAAACATTGACACACTCATGCTCTCAGACACATTCACACACATGCTCATACACTCACATGTACACACATACATATACACACACACACACACACACACACACACACACGGCACATCTGACTAGGAGAGAGAAAGAAAAGTGGTGGATTGAAAGTGTACTGAGAAGCCAGAAGCAGCCACTTGATTCATCTGGGGAGGCCAGAAATGCTGCAAACTTCTACTTACTTCCTTTGAGAAAGGTTCCTGCTTTCTTTAGGAAGAAGAAAAATATAGAGCAGCTTCTTTGTTAAACATATCCACCGTGTTTTAAATTTTTATTTTATTTTTATTTATTTATTTATTTTTGAGATGGAGTTTCGCTCTTGTTACCCAGGCTGGAGTGCAGTGGTGTGATCTCAGCTCACTGCAACCTCCGTCTCCTGGGTTCAGGCAATTCTCCTGCCTCAGCCTCCTGAGTAGCTGGGACTACAGGCATGCGCCACCATGCCCAGCTAATTTTTTGTATTTTTAGTAGAGAAGGGGTTTCACCATGTTGACCAGGATGGTCTCGATCTGTTGACCTCGTGATCCACCCGCCTTGGCCTCCCAAAGTGCTGGGATTACAGGCGTGAACCACCGTGCCCGGCCCTAAATTTTGATTTTTAAAATTTAATTTTATTTTTTTGAGACGGAGTGTTGCTCTGTTGCCCAGGTTGGAGTGCAGTGGTGCAATCTTGGCTCACTGCAACCTCTGCCGCCCAGGTTCAAGCAATTCTCCTGCCTCAGCCTCCCGAGTAGCTGGGAATACAGGCGTGTGCCACCATGCCCATCTAGTTTTTGTATTTTTAGTAGAAACGGTGTTTCACCATCATGGCCAGGCAGGTCTTGTACTCTTGACCTCAAATAATCCGCCTGCCTCAGTCTCCCAAAGTGTTGGGATTACAGGCGTGAGCCACCACGCCTGGCCTTCTTTTAGCCTTTTCTTATTGTGAAATATGACACACTACAGAAAAGTGTATGAAACAGAGATGCCTCATTATTTTATCACACAGCGAAGAACCATGTCACAAAACATCAGGTCAAGAAATGTACCATCATGAGCAACTCGGACCCTCACTCCTGCTTCCCATCGCCTTTTGGAGGCAACCACAGTCCTAAATTTTATGGCAATTGTCTCCCTGCTAAGCATGTGTCTGTCAATGCTGTAGTTAAGTTTGTTTCCCTTTTTTTTTTTTTTTTTTTTTTTTGAGATGGGGTCTTGTTCGTTTGTCCAGGCTGGTGTGCAGTGGAACAAACTCAGATCACTGCAGCCTCCACCTCCCGGGTTCAAGCAATTCTCCTGTATCAGCCTCCTAAATAGCTGGAATTACAGGTGTGTGCCACCACACTCCGCTAATTTTGGTATTTTTTAGTAGAGATGGGGTTTTGCCATGTTGGCCATGCCGGGCTTGAACCCCTGGCCTCGTGATCTGCCGGTCTAGGCCTCTTGAAGTGCTGGGATTACAGGCAGGAGCCACCACTCCTTGCCTGCTGTGGGGTAATTCATCGTATGAATATGGAGGTTTGCTTATTCCACTGCTGAAGTACATCTGGGTCTGCCTCCCTCCAACTTTTGGCTATTACGAGACATGGTTCACATAATTCCTGGAGTGAAATTGCTGGGTTATAGAGGATGTTCAATGTCAGTAGATACTGGCAAACAGTTTTCCAAAGTGGTTACACCAATTTTTTTTTTTTTTTTGAGACAGAGTTTCGCTCAGTTTCTCAGGCTAGAGTGCAGTGGTGCAATCAATCTTGGCTCATTGCGACCTCCGCATCCCAGGTTCAAGCAATTCTCCAGGCTCAGCTACTCCAGTGGCTGGGATTATAGGCATGCATCACCCTGCCTGCCTATTTTTTAATTTTTAGTAGAGATAGGTTTCTCTATGTTGGCCAGGCTGGTGTTGAACTCCTGAACTCAGGAGATCTGCCTGCCCCGGTCTTCCAAAGAGCTGGGATTACAGGTGTGAGCCACCGCACCCAGCCGGTTATACCAGTTTAAACTGACTCAGCTGTATTTCAGATTCCATTGCTCTACATCCTTACCGCTTCTCTGTATTGTCAACCTTTTAAATTTTAGCCCTTCTGCTGGGTTGTGCTGCTATCTCATGATTTTAATTTGTATTTGTTTGCTTATGAGTGAGGCTGAGCACTTTCAAACACCCTTATCGGTCATTTGGATACCTTTTTTGCTGAATTACCTGTTGGTGGCATTTATCTGTTTTTCTTTTTTTTTCTTTTTATTGATATGTAAGAATCCTTTACATACTCCAGATCTAAGCCCTTTGTTATACGTGCTGCAAATATCCTTTTCCACTTGTGACATGAAGTTGCACTCTTTTAATAACGTTTTGTAATGTACAGAATTTCTTAATTTAAATGTAGTCAAATTAATTTTTTTCTTCTTTTTGGTTATTGATTTTTGTGTCCTGTTTAATAATTCTTTCCTAGCTTCAGGTCACAAAGATATTTTAATATTATCTTTTATTTTTTTATTTTTATTTTTATTTTTTTTGAGACGGAGTTTCGCTTTTGCTACCCAGGCTGGAGTGCAATGGCGCGATCTCGGCTCACCGCAACCTCCGCCTCCTGGGTTCA